GCCTCCCGTTGAGTCGGTCCCTCCCCTTAGCTCCCTTGCGGTCCGGAGCTGGGACTGACGATACGGTGGCTCGGTTTGCGTTACGTTCACCCCCTCAGGTTCCATGCATGCGGAACCTCGGACGTAACAAACTAATAAATATGTATAAAAATGCCCCTAAAATTTAAAGTTTTTAGAAGTCATAGTTTAAAAAAAAATTCCTAAATTTACCCTATTTCTTAGCGCTCTAGACTAGGATCCCCCCTTAAAAGACATAAGGGTGAGAGAGGAAGAGTGGAGAGGGGAGTATGAGAGAATGAGAAAAAGAATTGAGATGTTGGAGGAAAAATGGGAGAGGGGAGTGATGGGTAGGGAAGGGGGGAGAAAAATAGAAGCGATAGAGGAGAGAGTAAAGATATTAGAAGAGAGAGGGGGAGATACAGGCTTAGGGAGGATAGAGGGAGGGGATGAGAGGGGAGAGGAAGAAAGAGTAAGAGCAATGGAGTAAGCGTGGAAATTTAAGGAAAGACAGAAAAGAAGGAGAAATATTATAGTAAATGGGTTTAGGGAGAAGGAGGAGGAATTAGAAAGTGAAATAGAAGGGTTAATAAAGAAGATAGGGGCAGAGATAAAGATTGAGGCAATAAGAAAGGTCGGAAAGGGGAAAGAGGGAGGGCGGGAGATAGAGTTGGTTCAGTTAGAATCAGAAGAGGATAAAAAAAGGATAATGGAAAGAAAGAAGGGTTTAAAAGGAGAAAAGATTTGGATAATGTACGATCTAACGTGGAAGGAGAGAAGGGTAATGGAAAAAATTAGAGATATGGCGAAACAGGAGGAAGGGAAAGGAGCGAGGATATGATATAAAATATGGGTAGGATATTAGGTGTTGAACTTAATTCCTGCTGCTCGCTTAATTTAAAACAATGTTCCACACCTTTAAAAAATCTAAAAAAATTTTTTTTAATGTAATATGCTAAAAAGTGTGTCAAACTTTTTAGCATATTACATTACACAAATTTTTTTTTAGATTTTTTAAAGGTGTGGAACATTGTTTTAAATTAAGCGAGCGGCAGGAATTAAGTTCAACACCTAATATAAGAAGATAAGGATAAATGAAGAGTGGTGGGTATGGGACGAGGAGGAAGAGATATTAAGAAATATGAAAGGGGAGAAGAGGGATTTTGAGAAGGGAGAAGAGAAGGAAAAAGGAGAAAAATAGGAGAGAGGGATGGGGAAAAGGAGGAGAAGTTAAGGATGGGTAGCACAAGAGAATGGATAGAAAAGAGAAAGTTGAGAGAGAAGAGGGAGAAGGATGGAGAGGAGGAAGTGGAGAGTAGAAGGGAAGGGAGAAGGAGTTGCAAAGTAGCGTTTTGGAATGTAGCAAGGTTAGGGAATAAGGATAAGGATTTTTGGATGGGGTTAACAAATTGGGATATTGTTGTCATGAAGTAAGAAAGGCAATGGGAGCAGATAAGGGAAGAGATTCAAGAAATTTTAGAGGAAGAATAAGGATTTTTGGATGGGGTTAACAGATTGGGATATTGTTGTCATGATGGAGACGTGGATAGAGAAGAAGGGATGGGTGAAAATTAAGGAAAGGTTGCCAAGAGGATATATTTGGGAAACGCAATGGGCAAGGAAAAGGAATAATAAGGGAAGAGCAATGGGAGGATTGATAATGGAGATAAGGAAAGGGATTGAAATACAAGGGGAAGAAGAAAGCGAAGTGGAAGGAATTCTGGAGTGAAAGGTAAAGATCGGATAGACAGATGGAAGATAGTGAGAATGTATGTAAACAAAGATCTGGTAGAAAAATTAGAGAGAGTAATAGGGTGGGTGGAAAACAGAGAGGATGGAATAAGAACGATAATATAGAAAAAAAGGGGGGGGGGGGAATTTTAATGCAAGGACAGGAGATTTAGAGGGAAGACAGGAAAGAGGAAGAAAGCGAGGAATGGAGGGGTAGGAAATCAAGAGACGGGAAGGTTAATAAGAAAGGAAGATGGTTGGTGGATAGGCTGGAAGAAGGAGGATGGTTTATTTTTAATAGAAATGACAATGGAGATGAGAGAGGGGATTGGACATACAAGGGGAAGAACAGAGATAGATTATATAATAGGAGAGATATAATAGGAGATGAGGAAGTATGGGAAGGAATAGATAAAATGGAGGTGGAAAGTAGAGTGGACTCGAAACTTTTCAGTGGTGATAAAGATAAAAGAGAGAGGATCTGAAGAGGAGAATGGGAGGAAAGGCAGTAAAAGAAGAAAAAAATGGATATAGTCGGAACAAGGGACAGAAGAATTCTGAAATAGAGTAGAAGAGCTATTAGGTGGAGAAAGGGAGAAGTAAGAAAGGCAATGGGAACAGATAAGAGAAGAGATTCAAGAAATTTTAGAGGAAGGACGAAAAGGGGAGAAGGAGGAGAGGAAGATGGGATGGTGGGATTTAGAATGTAAGAAGTTCAAAAGAAGAGTGAAAAGAGAATTAAGGAAGTGGAAAAGGGAGGGAGGAGATAGAACAAGATATAAAGAATTAAAGAGAGAATATGGTAAGTTATGTGAAGGAAAGGAGAAAGAAGAAAATGACAGATGGATAGAGATAGCAAAAGGAGCGAGGACGGAAGTGAAGGTATGGGAGGTGGTCAACAGGGAGAGAAAAAAGAAAAAAGGGATAGAAGAAGGGATACAAACGGAAGAGTGGGTAGAGTATTTCAAGAATATGTTAGGAGTGGAGGGAAGAGTAAGAAGAGGGATAAGGAGAGGGGGAAAGGATGATGGGGAGCTGGATATAACGAGGGAAGAAATAAAGAGAGCAATAGGGAAATTGAAGAACGGAAAGGCGGTAGGAACAGACGAAGTGCCAGGGGAGGTATGGAAGTATGGAGGGGAGAAGGTAGAGGACTGGGCATTGAAGATGTGTAATAAGGTATGGAGAGGGGAGGAGTGGATTGAGGAGTGGAATGAGGGAATAATAGTCCCTATAAAGAAGAAAGAAGAGGGAAAGAAGGATTATAGAGGGATAACATTGACATCAACGTTATATAAGGTGTATGCAATGATTATATGGGAAAGATTAGAGAAAGAAATAGAAGAAAGAAAGATGGTGCCGCAGAATCAGGCAGGGTTCAGAAGGGGTATAGGGACAGTGGATAATATCATCATAATAATAACATTATGAATTATTTGGTGAATAGACAGCTAAGTAAAGATGCTGGAAAGTTGATAGCATTTTTTATAGATCTAAAGGCAGCATTCGATTCAGTAGATAGAGAGGTGCTAGCGAATAATTTAAGGGAAAGAGGGATAAGAGAGAGGTTAGTGAGAAGATGTAAGGATTTAGTGAGGGAAACAAAAAGTAGGGTCAGGGTGGGAGGAGAGACAAGCGAGGTATTTTGGAGGAGTAAGGGAGTTAGGTAGGGATGTTCTACCTAACTCTACCTACGAGCCCAAGATTGTTCAACATATTAATAATGAATTTAGAAGATTACTTGAGGAAAGGAGGATTAAGGTTAAAAGAAGGGAAAGTGTATTCATTGACATATGCAAATGACATAATAATAATGGCGGAAGGGGAAGATGATATGAGATCGATGATAGTAAGATTAGAAAATTATATAAGGATGAAAGGATTGGTGGTAAATGTAGGAAAATCAAAGATCTTGAGATTTAGCAGGGGAGGAGGTAGGAGAAAGAAAATAAGCTGGAGATGGGAAGGCAAAGTGATAGAGGAAGTGAAAGAGCATAGATATCTGGGATACGTATTTCAAAAAAATGGAGAAAAGGAAGCGCAGGTAAAGGAAAGGATCAGGAAAGGGGCAGCGATGATGGAACAGGTATGATGAATAGGGAAAAAGAGATTTGGAGGAGACTGGGGGAAAAGAATATGGATGTTTGATTCATTGGTATGGACAGTGAAGGAATATGGGACAGAAGTTTGGGGATGGAAAGAAAGGGAAGGAATAGAAAAAATGCAAGAGATACATATAAGGTGAGTACTAGGAGTAGAGTATGGAACATCGGGATACTTTGTGAGGGAAGAGTTACAAAGGGATAACCTGAGGATCAAGGCGGGAAGAAGAGCATGGAATTTCGAAAAGAGGATGAGAGAAGGGAAAGGAAATGAATTAGCTAGAGAATGTTGGAAGGAGATGAGAGAAAGGATGGAGGGAGGAAAAAGGTTATCAGGATGGGAGAAGAAATTTTTCAGGGCAGGAATTTTTCAGAGAAAGGGGAAGAGATGCAGGGGAAATAAGGGAATGGGGGCAAAGGAAGGAGGAATTTATTGAACTGGAGAAAGTGGACAAGGAAAAACAAAGAGAAGAAAGACGGGAGAAAATTAGAAACTCGAGGTTTAATAGGTGGTATGGAAGAGTGAAGAAGGAAGGAATGCCAGTGTATTTGAAAAAAATCTGGGCAGGAAACAGATGGAAGAGAATGGTTAATTATAGATTGGGGGGGAAGGATGAGAGAGGGAATGTATTGGTGGAAAGAGGAGGATAGGCAATGTAGATGTGTGGATATGAAAGGGAGACATGGGAGCATGTGTGGGAGGAGTGTGGTAGATGGGGAGCAGAAGGTAGTTGGTAAAAGATGGTAGAGGAGGTGTTGGGAGGGGATGAAAGAGGGGAGGAATGGATTAGAATGTCAAAAAGATATAGGGAGGGAAGAGGACAAGAGGAAGAAGGAGAAAGAGAGAGGAGAGGGGGAAAGAGAGTGAGAGAGTGTAAGAAAGGGATATACCAGCTATGTAAATATGAAACCGGAATTTTTTAATAGAAAATACATGTTTATTGCATGAAAATGATAACAAATATTTTGTTATTCGAAGTATTGCTCATCGCTAGCTATACATTTTTCCCACCTGTCTGACAATTTGTGGATGCCACGCCAAAAAAATTGTTGCTTTTTTGAGCCAAACCAGTTATCTAGCCATTTTCGTACATCTTCGTAAGAAGTGAAGCGCTGCTGAGCAAGTTCGTGT